CTGACCTGCGCACCTTCGATCCTGTTATAAAACAGGTTCGTGACGCTTTGGCTATGCAGATGAGCTCGTGTCCAGCTCGTGCTCAAGGGTCTTGACCAATCACAGGGGTCACAGCTCTCTTGAGCATGCACTCAGAGCGTGATCAGTGACGGCCAGACACCTTGACGCCCAAATTCTGAACAACATGTTTTGTGTTAAGTTTCTATTTTACAGACAAAAGAGTTTATAAGGATGTGGAGGGGGCGTGGCGCTCAGCTGCAGGGGGGAGGAGGTGTGGAGATGGCTCAAGGGAGCAGTGTCAGGGGAGATGATTGGGCACACCTGAAACCAGTTGCCTAATCACTCTCCCCTCTGTAAAATCAGTAGCATGCTGGACCTGGGGGGAGAGCTGGAGCAGAACCCAGGCCACCAGCTTGGGACCGAGCAGGAGGACGCTGCACCGTAACCAAAGAGCCCTAGCCGGGCGTGTGTGCGTGCGTGAGTGTGTGTGTGTGAGAGAGTGTGTGTGCGTGGCACACATGCTCAAAATAAATAGTTGGAACAACCACTTCTGGTCTCGGGGGAACTCTGTCGGATACCCACGGTGGCACGACTGCCACAAAGGAAAATTATGAGTTTAAGAGCTGATCATGCTGCTTCCTGATGCTAGTCAGTAGGAACTGAACAACTGTAGCTCTTTCAATTATGGTTTTACAGAAAAAGTTTGGTAAAAATATCCTTTTGGAAATGCACACAACTGAGTATGTACTGACCTGGTGTATCCTCTTGCAGGAATTGCAGTAGAAGGCCATTGGGAACATAAACATTCAGGTTGTTGAATTGGAAAGGTTTTGTGCCTTCACAGCCCTAAATGCATAAAGCATACATTGTTCGAGTAATACTTACTTGATGTTCAGGTGTACATGAATATTGCAAACATGAATGGAATGGTGTGTACATGAAATATATAACTCTGGAGGTCTGACCTGATTTGACTGGGTTTGACTCAAGGAGGGAACTGACTCTAGGTCTGTTGAGTGGTTGGAGGAGGAGAGAGGGATGGGTTCCTGGATGGAGCCTTCTTCTTTTCCAAAAGAATAATCTAGAGCATAAAAAAGATGAAGAACTCAGTAAAAATATCAAGTCTGTTTTCAAAGTAGAGTAAAAATGTAAATATGTATATTATTATTATAATATGTTTGTGCATGCACCTGAGCATTCTCCTGTGGGACCGTAGAAACTGTAAGAGAGGTGGATTTTATTGTCGAGCACTGCTGAGAGGGAGCCCTGCTTTACTCTTTTCACCTGCATATGTTCTGATCCTGAATAAGGAACACAGACAGATATTTACCAGACCTTGGTTCATTAGTTCCCTTTAAATAATTTCAGAGCTTTGCAAGGATGGATCCAAAGAGTCCTAAATTTACTAAACGTGCATAAATGAACTGTAACAGAGGGTGATGCTTCTAATATCAAGGGTCCACACCTCCACCGGCCTCCGTTGGGTCCGTGTTCTTTTTGTCTTGTGGAACACAAGGCTCCTTTACAGGATCTACAAAGATGTGATTGATGTGTGTGTAAAAACTATGCCCATCCTTCTTTACACAAAGTTTCATCAGGCTGGAACCTGAGGAGCAAAGACGACAAAAATTAAGCAAAGAGACAATTCTTTCCAAAAGACAAGACTTTGGAGAAAAAGTTATGGCAATGCAATGAACATTATGTCATTTTCTGTTGTGATTGTAATGTTAATGTTCTCAAGTTGTTTATTGGATTTGTTCTTTGAAAAATTAGGCCTTGAGTTATGACAGTCTTAGATTTGTCTATATACCTTCAACAAAGCTGACATTCTCCACAGTGATCTGTCCTCCATCTGAAGGGAAGAGGCACTGGACATGACCTGACACATGGGCCAACTGTCCATCCATGCTGTATCCAGTAAAACACTACAAAAACACATACACACACAACATTGCAGGATACTCTTAGATTTCACATAATGGGAAGAAAAGATGTAGTCATGAGATCTTAAATATAGCCTAATACAAACTTTAATGAACAACGTGAATAGTACTACCCTGTGTCATTATGTGACTACACATAAGCTCCAATGCAGCAGCACTGTGTGAAAAAGTCCACCTTTACCGTGAATTAGGCTGAGAAACATGTTGTTAATTAATTGACTCCATTAACTGGAAATCAGCAAGAGTAAATGTGTTCACTGGAATGTTCAGAGAAAATGGGGAAAAACCCAAATAGCTACATGAGATTCTGCTGGCTTTAATTAGAACATGTGACGATAAAGTTTACAAAAGTGCAATTAAAACAAGTGAACAAATATAGCTTGTGGCTGTATAATTGCATCATGTAGTGCACTTTATGTAGTGATTTTCTGTTGATTTAATATCAAGTAAATCATGATGCATAAGTGAAAATAAGTCTTTTTTAAAAATCCCATTTAAAAAAATGTTCCAATCTTTTAAAAAAAATCCCATAAAGATTGTCATGATAATTACATTTTCCAACTGAAAAGGGAAATTCATCATTTTTAATTCAGTTGTTAATTTCAAGATGGACACTGAAGTGGTGAATCATTTAGTGTTTGCCCTCACACAAGAAGGTTCCTCTGCCAGCTGCACTCCTTTGGCTTTATTTCCAGGGGGCGCTGTAGGAACAGCAGACTCTGGGGCAGCTTTGGCTGAGCTGCTTGCTGTATTTGGTCGGCTTTTCTTGTCACCAGACAAAGCTTTACTTTTTTTGCTGTCCTTCGATGGGTCCTCCTCCTTCTGCTGCTTGCCTTTGGTCGTATTCTCTTTCTTAGATTTTTTGTTTATCTCTTCTTCCTTCATTTGCTCCTGCTCCAACTTCCAGGCCTGTAACACCATGGCATCAAGTACAAACCGCCACCAGAGATTGGGAGATGAGGAATTAGTGCTCCTGTTTCTGACATTTTGATTAAGGTAATTTCATACAAGCTGATCTTTAAAAGATTTATTAGCTTAACCCTTGATTTTATACAGATTTTTAAGTAGCTCTTAAGAACCATAAGTAGCTTAAGTAATGATTATGTAGGATAATGGTTTGTTGCTCTAAACTTGCTTCACAGAATCAACTCCATGTTGTCTAATTCAATAAATTAAACGAATGTGACCTTTCTTTGCATGCATTTTTTAAATGTCATGGAAAAGATGGTACTGACTTTTAGGGAATCTTTTCTGATAACTGGCTCCAGAGGAGTGTTCGCCTCTTCAGAGGGTACAGCCTTGTCATCTAGCAGGAATGAAACAAACAAAGCATTAAGCATGTGCATTAAGGGTTATTTTTCAGTTCTTTGGGGAAATGCTTCGAAATGGTCCAGAGCTACTTTACTAGGTATTCCACAATAAGTAAAGCCGCACTTATTTCACCAAATCACCCCCCTGAAAAAAAACATGTTTAGTTACTTTATTTAACAGCAGTGACAGTTCTAAAATGAATCTGCATAAAAAATCAAGAAAAAAGCAAGTTGATAAAGGCTGAGTGATAAAGATAACTCTGTCACTGCCATCCAAATGATACGTGTAGTTAAATTAAAAGCCACACAGATATATTGTCTGACTTTCAAGCTGAACACTTTGATAAATTACCTTCTGTTGGTCTCTGGTTAACTTCCATTGTCTCTCTCTTTAATTCCTCATCAACTATCCAGTTTGAGATGCTGTCTGCGACATGCTCCAAGTACTTCCTGTGAAAAGGAAGACACTTCAACTTGAAAAAAACTTCAGGTCCATCTGAATACCTCTGTGTGCAGCCACTGATATGATGTAATTTCTTCCATAGGTCATTATTTTTGGCAACACTGGAAATCCAAACCAGCTATCTTAACAATAAAACAGATTTTTTGTAAGTATTCATCCACAAAAAGTACTTTGCAACAACAAGTAAATTCCGACCTGAATTTAACATCGGTGTGAAGTTTTACATCCCAGAACTCTTTGGACTGGCGATGAGAGTTCATGGGATTGTGACAGAAAACGTACAGGATATTATCATTAGACCCTGTAAAAGTGTCCAGGCAACGATACTCCTCAAAGGCAGACTGTAGAACCTAAACAAGATTAAAATAAATAGCACTCAAGCAATACCTTATTTATCACACACACATTAAAGGAGGAGAATTAGCTTATTTTACTCTGGTATTTATCAAACAAGTTGAGTTTGTGGTATCTGTCCTGCACTGCTAAACTTCTTAGCTTACACTGAACTGTAACTAGCTGTATATGATGTTACGAAAAATAATGTCACTTTTTGGACAAAATTAACATGCTGAAGAGGATGACTGAAGTGAAAAATAAAAGTCACCTGTGGGAAAACAGCAGCATCATGATGTTCACTGTAGTGCCAATCAAAAAGAGATCTCAGCCTACATTTCTGCATTTCAGATAAGTCCAGCTGGCAGCAGACTTTACCGCTGAGCTGCTGAATAGAAAAAACATGTATGAAACCTGACTGAGTAGATCACAATGTTTGTTACAGTTGTAAAAGATGCAAACATTACCTCCATGTTAGCGGGGTCTTCAGTAACAAATGTCGGACCTGTAATGAAGATCAATTCTGGGAGTGAAAACATGCATATCCTGTAGTTATAACAGGAACTCTACACAGCAGGAACTTTACATGACATTTAAAATAAAATACATATATTCAATAATAAACTATTCAATATATTAAAATATCACACATTGCCACAACATATCAGTAACAGTCACAGACCTTTATTCATGAGGTTATGAAGCTGCTGTTTAGCATAAGATAAAGGGTCGTCCCAGGGGATAAATGTAGGTCTCTGGGGCTCCTCTTGTTCCTGTGTGGCCAGAAGTCCAGTAGTATTGGGCAAAACACCCTGCTGATCCATTGTGCGCAGTGTCATTGCTTCAAACACACTCTGCTGAAACAGTCGCTCTACGTCCGGCCACGACACAGCGTCTATGTGAAATCATATTTACAAGCCCAACCATAATTTAAAAGCAAGCAGCATTTGACTGTAAGTAGATATTTTGTTTGTTATAAGTGCATTTTGGTAAGAAGTGGGAAGAAGCAGGTGGACTGGGCTGAGATGGGTTAAATACCGACCATCTGTGCAGTAGTACTGCAGCTGCTGTTTGACCAACTTCCAACAGGAGGTACTCTTTCTCTGCTCAGTCACTGACTGAATCAGCTGCCAGGCTGGAGAAAACTTCATCATGGAAGATTCCACCTCTGCCACACTGAAGCTGTTAGTCACCTACAGGTCACATGAATATGTATAAACACACTCTCTAAAATTTGACGTATATTTAATTTATTTCAGTGGGATTTATATTGTGCTGTATCACAACCTAAGTCTTCTTTAGGCATCCCAAGATGCAGTCCAATTTAAACCAGAATTAATTGATTTTAGATACTGTACTGAGTGTACATGAGGACACAGTAGATCCTTCTCACTCTTTTTCCTCCAGTCTATCTGAATTCCACATGAAATTAAAAGACTCACGCTGATGTCCCTCAAGCGTAGCGCTATCTCATCATGGTGTCTGATAATCACAGGCTGCTCAGATTTCTTCTCCACTCCCCCAAACGTATGGAAAAGCCTCTAAAACAGATGAGGCAGCAGCAAAATTTCAAAAGAAAAGTAGTAGTAAAAACCTTCAAGGATGCTTTGAATAAGATTAACAATCACAATACGACATATAATATCTCCATGTGTCATCTGACTAAGTCATGGATATACACAAGTTTATAAGAATGATGCACCAAAGTCATTTTTTCCCCATAATAATTATTACATTTTCTAATCCTACTCGTGGGCATATTTTCATCTTATCAATTAATTTGGACAATATAAAAGAAACATCGAGTACTGAATGTACGTAGAGAAAATAGTGAAATGTTTCAACTACAAACATATAGTACGGATGTTAAAATCACACAACCTGTGATGAAAAGTGTAAAAACAATGTAAGAGCTGATGTCTAGATTGCTTCTAGCACCATCTTGTGGACACACTGATTTAATTTTTTTCTATGGATAATTTGTCATCTCCAGTAGCCTATGTATGGCATTAAATCGAATTAAAGATTTTGTCACTCTTGACTGTTACTCGAATTTTTTATAGTATTTTGTCCAGTATTTTGTATTAAAAAAAAACAACATGAGGCAAAAGTGAAACTGCATTGGCCGGGAATCGAACCCGGGCCTCCCGCGTGGCAGGCGAGAATTCTACCACTGAACCACCAATGCTGTGTTGCTATATTGCGGAAGAAGCGGTAATTTACCCTGAGTACGTCGGTACCGTACCTTCTTGTCTTCTTCCTTCTCTACGGTAGCCAAAAGATTATCTAACACGAAACGTTTCTCCTCTTCTGTTTGTATGAAAGGCAGGAAGCTTTTAAGCATGCAGCTGACCAGCTCACTGTCTAAACGGGGGCCAGTTGCAGCTTGAGAGTCCTCAGCCATACAAGACGGGGTGGGAAAAGATTGCTCTGTTGAAATGACCACCTATACACACATATGCATGGCAAAAATAAATTAAACCATCAATCACAGTGAGGCGGAGCACAGGCTGTGTCCCTAAAAAGTCTTTTTTGCTTAGTTATGGGCTGATTTAATTTCCTACGAAGTGGCGAAGACACGTTGAATGAAGGACACACCAATGATTTGCACACACACCTGCTCCAGCATACAGTGCAACATCAAGGGCACCGAGCAGGCTTCAGGGGGAACCAGGTCCAGCAGACTGCTATAGTAACACATGTCCACATCTGTAGAGAGTGGAGGGAGCTTGGTCTCTGTTCACAAGGGAGATGGTAGAAAATAGGTCATATTCAGACTTTTAGAGGTGGTTCAACACATTCTAAAGTCACAATCAGAAAGCATAGTATACAAGAAAGAAGATTAACACATTTTCTTTTAAATCCACCTTTGTCTACAGATTCTTGCTCTTGGACTGACTTCTTCTGGGAACGTGGAATCTTGGATGAAACAGTCTGCACAACCTTACACACACAGAAAAACAAAAAACACACACATAAAGCAAAGAGTTGGGAGAATACATAAGTGTACTTTATAGGATGGCACATTCAGAAGTGGTCTGTAAAGGTTGAGCAATAATGCAAGTTATCTGCACCTGTATTCACCCATAGCTTTCTAAACTGAGGCTTCCTGGCAGCCTGTGCAGCCTGAGTGCAGTGGCCTGCTGCGCCGTGAATTCAGTGTATTACTGCTACACAACACAAGGAGCAGAGTGGCGCAGCGGAAGCGTGCTGGGCCCATAACCCAGAGGTCGATGGATCGAAACCATCCTCTGCTAAAATATTTTCACTAATGCAGTCAATATTTGGTAGTAATGTAAGACTTTAAATCATTTAAGACTGTTATTAAGATATATTTACATTATAATTACTGAAAGCAATTCCCTTTTACATGCTGATCAAATGGTTCAGTGTCATGCCCTCCCCGCAGCAGCAGCCCTATTATCATAACAAATAGCAAGCAGGGATTGGCTGTTCAGCTCCATCCGCCTGCTGCTGGTCCTGCCCACTGACATTTGAGCCTGTGGGAGTGGAAAAAAACTGCATGAAGGAAAAGAGAAACTGCATTGGCCGGGAGTTGAAAGTATTCCAGACTGATATATAATTTGTACTCTGGATAAAATCAAAATAAATTAATTAAATAAAAAGGTGGCTTAAATTGACACATACACACAAATCCATAAATACATTTTTTTTTTTTAAGGAAAAAGAAACAGCTGACCTAGAGGCAAAGCAGATTGCTCAATAACAAAAACATTTGTAGTTCATTTGTTTAGTATATCCACTTCTGTATGTATATATGTACCTCTGCAGACTGTGAATCCAGACCACCAACAGAAGGTACCCTGAGGAACTTTACATTGTCACAGTAGTGCTGATGCTGCCTGCGCCAGTCCAGGCACACATAGATCAGATTGGACACACCATCAAAGATTTGACTACCCAACTGGAGCTGGACAAAAAGTGAACCCACATACAGACAACGTTATCAACTAAATTGATAGTGAAGAATAATAAGATGAAGCGTAACACACAGCAGAAAAGTTCATGTGAACAAGGTGTGCATTGAACTCCAAATAATCCCACTCACCACAGCCTCAGGGTCCTGTGTGTCAAAGGGAGGAGCAAAATCTGGCACAGTGTAGCTCAGCTGAACCACATCATGGAGCCTGGAGTCAGAAGGTCCGCTCTCTAATACAGGCCTCAGACCTGACCAAAACAAATCCAGCTTTCTGGCCAGCAAAGCCACATCTAAAATCCAAAGATAATAGTGATGCAACATTAACAAAAGTAACAATAATTTGAAAAATATTGTGTACAACTAGTTTGGAACTAACTAATTCATTCAATCAGTCAGTTTTGGATTGCTTATTGTGTGGAATCTGTACATAAGTCATGTTTATTATGTCCTGAACACTTTCAACCTGCATCCTGAACTGGGGATTCTTTCAGGCCCAGGTCGGTGACCCCATGTCTGTGTTGTTCCAGCGTTTGACCAGTTTGGGTATGCTCCGAGCACAGTTTGATGACATTTGCTACATGCACAGTGATAGCATTGAGTAAGCAAATTAGGTATGGCTGGTAGAATCCCAGCAATAGAATATAGTGGTGAGGACCACACTCTGGCTCATCATCTAATGAAACAAACAGAGAGGGAGAGGAAAGGATTAATCATTTTTATCATATCTATATTTTTGTGTCATTTGTTTGTATTTGCAATTATGTTTTACTCCACATGTTGTGATTAAATGGCTCTATTTTACACATCATATTACAACAGAATACTGTGCTTAAGAGCATGTCCTTAAATTATAACATGTTATTTAGGATAAAATATTGAATCCATAACATCACTGCTGTTTTTACCTATGAATGTGGGCGGCTCAGCATCGCCTCTCCGTCTGAGCTTGGTTTTCTTCTCTTTGGAATCTCCAGGTGCTGAGGCCACATCCTTTCCTTTTTTGTCAGATCCACTTTTGCCCTTGCTGTTAGAAGAGGGGGTGGTCTTTTCTTCTTTTCCTTCAGTCTTAAGATGAAGTCCACAGAAAACAGAAAACATGATTGCTTCCTGTGTGTTCCGATTTGACTGAACATTATCATTGCATAATTGTCTCAATATAACGGTTTGAGAATGAAAGGAGAGTGGCTTTTCTGTAAAGTCATTCACCTGCTCTGCATCCCTCCTGTTCTGATCAATGGCTTTGATGTGTAGCAACTGGAACTTTAGGATTTTTGCCATCAGGTCACATGGAATCTCGTCTCCAGCATCCAGCAGCACCTTTGCTTGTTCTGTAACCTATGCAAACACCAAGACAAATGACGATGCTAGTTCATAATGTTAGATTCTCAAGATACTGACAAATAACTAACCAAAAACACTGTTCATATCTAAACTGTATCAGTTTATGTCACAAAAATATTCTCACCTCGTGGAACATGGGGACATTGTCAGTTTTTTTCGCTTTGGGATTACCCAGCTCATGGATCTGAAAAAGAATGTTATATTTAACTTAACATCTGTTTGGATGTGTTCAAATAATGATGAACATATTCTATAATTCTGTGGTGCACTAAAATAAATCATGTTTTCATTTCATATGGAGAGATACAACATGAAATGCAAATACAGTCACTTTTCAGCTTCTGAGTGCTAAGAGAAAGACATGTAACTAGATGGCTAACAATGTTTCATTTTAAACAAATCAATTTGGAGCTAATTTAACAGTAGTTGCATTGACAAACTCATTGCACTTTAAAACAACCAAACTTTTAACAGTATACAGTAGCCTATGTATCAATAAGTAACTACATGTTTTCCCAAAAAGTTAAAGATACCTTTTCAATGGTCCTGTCCCAGGATATCACGGAGAAAAGTTTGCGCTCCGGTTTCTCCACAGCCAGAGAGAGGGCCTTGATGAGTTCTTCGTCCTGTGGACTGCTCCCAACCACAAACGTCACACAGGCCTGCCACGAGTCCTGCAAAGGATGGGACGAAATGAAATAGCCTCTCACAAATGCCCTGACAAAAAAAAAAGTTTTTAAACAAGCACCATTTTTAGCGTAACGTTGTATTCCTAATAATCGAGCCGGACAAACTAGGACTTCCGGATCGAAAATCTGAAACTGCTAATTAAAACATTTTTTTTTTTTATAAACAAATTTCCCCAACTACACAATTAGAAATTTTTCAAGTGATTTGTTCATCCTTTTTAGCCTGCCTGACACGGCAAATGCAAGTTGGCTGTTAGGTTGTTGACTGGACGACAAACCTCCTCAAATTGTGCTCTTACGAGGCCAGCCTCCCAATTCTTGTTTACAGCTGGAGCTCCAGCGTTGTTGGACTTTTTACCAGAGGTCTTTTTAGCTGCCATTGGGGGAATATCCGTTTAGTGAGGATAACAGGACAGAGGGAAATGAACATAGTACAAGCAGGCTAACGTACTTTAGAAACTACAAGGTGTCAATTATTTTGTTTGCGTTGCCCATAGTAACCACACAAGTGCCAACTGACATAGCCAAATACTTCCTGTTCACTTAACTCGTGATTTCGAGATTCTTATCTTCTAGTATACAACTTCACAAAAAAACAAACAAAAAAAAAAAAACAGAAAATTTTAAATAGTGTTTTAAAACAACTACACGTATATTTAGTTTCCTGTTGATGGTCACATTCACGTTTGACTTTTGCTTTTTTCCTACTGTCCACTAGATGGCAGTAGAATGTTTGTGTGTCGCATTTGTGCATTTACGTTCTTTTGTAGTATAGACTCCTTAAAAGTTTTTAAAAAAAAGTTAATCTAATCCAGAAAAAACACTTCTAGTTAAAAATATCTTATGTACAAACAACAGGATATTCTTCATGAATTTTAAAAGGCATTCTCTTTGCCGCATTAGTTTGTTTTTGTTTTTTATCCATGGGAATTACCTACCTTCTGTGGCACCCTATAAGAAGAGCAAAAGCGAGACAACGCCCACCTGTCATAATCCAGAGATATCCATGTTTCAAGCCAGCCCTGCATTTGTTGAGGAGGCGTTGCTAGCACTAAACCCTCTGGAGACAGTGTCCTGCAAAGGTCAGACACAAGCCAAATAAACATTGTAGTGACACTTACACAACACTTCGTTCTCCCAGCCTCAAATGGCGTAGCAACACCTTAAAATATCTTGATTTTTTTTAGAGAGACACTGCTGTTGCGTTTGTGGATCATGTGCCTGTCAGACATATTTCATTACACTCAACACCAGTTGTAATAGTTTATTAAAGATCTGTATCCACATACTACTTGACATGATGCATCCAA